CAGCTGCCCTCTCTGCCTCCCTACCTGCTTGCAGAGCGAGCCCTGCTCTCCCAGGCCCCGTTCGGGCAGGTGTGGGTGTTTCCAGTGTGTCCGGCTCACCCCTCACGGCCGCCTCGTGATGATGGGGAAGCGAAGGGCGTCAGCTAAGCAGCTTCGAGCTGTCAGGCCCAGCTTGGAGCGTGGCCTGAGCTCCATGTGCTTCTTTCCACCCACCCCACGGGGCTGCGTTCCGAGTGGCTGCAGCTCCTTCACCTTCCAGAACCCTTTCCTCTGTTGCTGACTGGCTGCACGGTCGCCTCTCGGGCTCTTGAACAGAAGTCCACCCATGCTTCTTTCTGCAAGTAGGCAACTGGCTGCTCTTTCCTTGGAGACACGTAGCACCCCACCTGCATGCCACGTGCGTGGTGTCTATCCTCTGGCCTCCATGGGAGCTGGGAAGCAGGGCCGCCCCATTCTGTGCCCATAGGAATGAAAAATAAGACACAGAGAGGAAAAAGTAAATAAGCCATAGTCCTTCAACCAAAAGGTGGCCACTACTTACACCCATGGATAGAGCCACAGAGGTAGCTGAGAATGGTACCTAGATATCTTACATTCTTATTTCACAACTCAGGACCATGTCCTTGAGAAGTGTTTGAATCAAAATATTCTCATACAACCCTCCACATAATAGCTATGAACTAACTTAACAAAATTGACCCATAGTTGAGGGTTTTCCGTCATGTCCTCAGTGACTGCTAGAAACTTAATCCAATGATTAGTTCAATTCAAAATCGACTGATCTATCAGCAACCTGGGAAAGAAGGACAATTTGGAGTAAGTTATCCTTCTTGACCCTATTGTGATTCCTAGTGACAATTTCTTTTGTCTGTTTAAAACACTGATGCAATGATTTTTCAGATCTGTGTCAAGCTCTTGGGTTGGACTCTCCTGCTGGGAAGTTCAGGTGCGATGTGCAAACTGGGCTTTCTGGCACTGTGTCTGTTCCCTGTGACGCCTCTGAACAAAGTCGTCATGTTTCGACTGCCCCTTCCGCTTGCCATATTAGCTCACCCGGTATAGCTGCTCTGGGATTCCCCTTCCTGTGAGAATCCTCTCTCTGCCTTTCACTCTGGGGACACCTGTACCGTAAGCCTCAGTTGTATCCCCTCTGTCTGCCCTCCAGGTGGCCTGCGCTGGCCTCGGTAGCCAAGGTTCACTGTGTGGACTGTTGGACCAAGATGCCCAGCAGGACGGGTTCCCTGCTTGACATGTAGAGGGGCCATTCTCAAGGTCCTGTGGTGTGTTCTGGAAAGGATTAAAAGCACTGCAGAGCTCGCCCTGTGCAGACCCCTGCAGACCCCTGCAGACTCTGGGCAGACCCTGTGCAGACCCACTGCAGACCCTGTGTAGACCTGTGCAGACCCTCGCAGACCGCTGCAGACCCTGTGCAGACCTCTGCAGACCCTGTGCAGACCTGTGCAAACCACTGCAGACCGCTGCAGACCCTGTGCAGACCCTGTGCAGACTCTGTGCAGACCCTGTGCAGACTGCTGCAGACCCTGTGCAGACTCTGTGCAGACTCTGTGCAGACCGCTGCAGACCCCGTGCAGACCCTGGGCAGACCCTGTGCAGTCCCTATGCAGACCCCGGGCAGACCCTGTGCAGACCCTGTGCAGATTCTGTGCAGACCACTGCCCTTGCTTTTGTAAGTGCCCAAAACGAGCAAAAGATAAGATTGTTTTGGTATTTGGGGCACATGAGTTCTTCATTGTTGCCCTTAATGATAAGAAATATCTTAATGATAAGAAATGTGGAAACAGCTTCATAGTTTTTTTGTTGATTTACAAATTCTTTAAGTTACTGCTCTGGTATTAGCATAAAATTCTAATCACATCCTTGCGTCATGTAGTATGCTACTGAAGTGAGTTTGCTGGGCAGTTTGTCCCCATAACCTTCTAGGTACTTAACAAAGCTGAAAGAGGAGAGGCAAACCATCTTCTCTCTGGCTCTTTCACCCTGGTCAGATGCTTATACCCTCTTTTCTCAGTCTGACAGTAAATTGGCTAATTGCCACCTTGTAAGAGAAAGACATGAAGGACGATTAACCCAAACTTGTATTTGGAATAAACTTAAGACGTGCTTCACTTATTTATCCACCTCTCTAAATAATTTAACCTTGTTTCTTTCTTAATTATCAGCACTAAGACTAAAGAGTTAAATTATTTAATAACTCACAGCATTTTCACCTTGTTCTTCAGTTAAATTCCTGACTATTCTTATTTTGTTTTTACATATAAATTTGAGAATCGGTTTATAAATCCTTTTTTTCATTGCTATAACAAAATGCCAGAAGCTGGATAATATATGAAGAAAAGATGTTTGTTTAGCATATAGTTCTGGAGGTTTGAGAGCAGAGCACCTGCTTCTGCGTGGCCTTGATGAAGGCCTCCTGGTGGATGGATATATGAGGGTCAGAGCTTGGGAGAGTGACGGACCACATGGCAAGGCAGGACCGGAGAGCCAGGAGGAACTGTCTCATTTGTTATGACAATCTGCTCTCATGAGCACTCTTTAGACCAGCATTAATCCCTCCAGGGGCAGTGCCCCCTGTAACCTAACCACCTCCCACCAGGCCCCACCTCTGAAAGGCTACACCACGCCCAATGTCATCACACTCACAAAATCCAAAATCGATGCCCTTCTCAGGAGGTGGATTAAAATCTATTATCCCTTTTTACAGACTGGACATAGAGCAGAGCTTCGAACCCAGGCAACCCAGGGCTTCCACCTGCTCCCCGCCCCCACAGCAGTCTAAGACTGGGACTCGAGGTCAGAGGTGGAGGTCAAAAACCTAAGAACCCAAAGAAACCAGGGCTGTGTGCCCACTCCTCCGAAGGCTTGCCTGCCGCCGGTCCCCCCTTGAACACTGCCAGTGTCGTGCTGAGCCCCAGTGTGTTAGTCTCAGGGAGGGTTTTACCTGAGGATATGGTGGTCTTGAACTTTTATAAGGAGAAAATCCTTCCTTTTCCTCGCACCCTACCACTGATCGGGAGCTGAAGAAGGCGGCCCGGGACCCCGTGTATCTGATATTGGCTGGTTTCCTTTTCTTGGTGCCAAATCAGCAAAGGATTTGTTAAGTATGTGACCTACGTTTGCTAGACCCCAGGAACCCAGGGAAGAATCACACTTCTAGCAAGACTGTCTGGAAGCTATTAGTGACTAATCCAGGTACTAGGAATAAATTGCATGAATATTCAACATCCAACGGCGACTGATGCCAACTGTATCCAAAATCACTCCTTCATGTGTATGTGGCTGCTCTGCCAGCTCTGTGCCTGGTCCTGAGAAGGAGGCTGCCCGTGTCGAGTTCACAGTCCGGAAACATCTGCAGAAATGCTGTCTAGGAAGGGCTGAAACGTGACCGTTCTGACCAGCTCTGCCACACCGACTGCAGAGAAATCCAGCCAGAGGTTCTGTGGCATGTCCCTCTCGGAAAGCCATGGGAGTAACACAGGGTGCAGTACCCCTTCCAGATCACCTGGGCAAGTGGTGCGCGCCTCCTGTGACCATCCTCACAGCTGAGGTCGTCCCCAAGCCAACCTAGAGTTCCCAGGAGAGGCCAGCTTCCCCACTCTGAGCGTCCTTTGGGCCCATGAACCTCCATGGTCTTTTGCTCCACACTGGTCTTTTGCTCTTGGGAGAACTTCTGGGCTGTTCTGAGCCCAAGAGAAGCCCCTCCTCAGACCTAAGGAGTACAACAGCCAGGACAGGTGCAGGAAAGAGCTCAGAGTTACAGCCAAGCCCCAAGAGCAGTTGTCAGTTGCCCGACTTAGGAGTTGCCTCAGTTTCTTTTTTTGAAAAATGGGCTAATAATACTTACCTTGTAGGATTCATGGGCGTCTTGAAGGAGATAATAGATGTGCAGCTATTACGTAGGTCATTCATTTGGAGGCTTTATTGATGAAGATTGTGAACTATTAAAGTTCATCCTGGAACTTGTGTTCTTCCTGGGGTACATTCTGCTCCTAGGAGAAGCCAGCCTGCTCTGATCCCGCCAGCCTGCATCAGAGCCTCCCAGACCCCTGCCTTCGCGCCTTGCCTCAAAGGCTTCATTTGTCAAACTGTGAGGTCACTTCATGCTTTCGTTTTGGAGCTGGAGTCTGGTCACAGGACCAGGAACCTGGTTGCTCTGTATGTGTTGCGTGTCTGATTTTAGAACATTTAAGGTGTGTGGGGGGAGAGGGGGTACAGTGGGGGAGTCCTCTTGTCTTCATAGTTAGGAGTGTTTACTGGCATCCACAAAGTTCAACCTCTGTCTACCTTCATTCAATCATTCTGCACATATTAGAAAATAACTGCGTTCCGACCACATGCTGATGATGGTCTCCGGGGCTGGGAGACAGTGATGATCTTCAAGATGGTCTTGGAGCAGCTGGCAGCCCAGAGGAGGAAGGCGAGCCCCTGGACCAGCAAGCAGAGTGACAGCAGATGTGCACTAGGGTGGGGTACTGGGGGGCCAGTCCAGCCCCACTGTGTCCCCAAAATGAAGCCCAGGGCTGGAGTTCAGGCACATCCTGCCAGAAGGGAGGGGCCATTGAGACCTGGAGGAAGAGAACAACCAAGACACAGAGGGAGAAGGACAGGCCAGGTGGGGCGGGGGGCAGAGGGAAGGCCCAGAGCTGGGGCCTTCGCTGGGAGCCGCATGGACCGGGGACAGCACGTGGGAACGTGGCTCAGTGCCCACCTGGCCACCACTCAGCTGGGAGCGCGGAGACCCATCTACAATAATGGTCCCAACTTCAGAGGGCTCCCAAGAGTTAGAGGGGGTGTTGTTCTAAAAGCATCCAGACTGCACCTGCAGGAACTAAGCGCTGTGGCAATATTTGCGAAATAAAAGTAAATCGACCGAGGCACACAGAGTCTAATCTCGAGCCTAAATGTTTCTTTTCAGAGCATCTTTTCTGATTTCAAAAGCACATCACGCTTTGGCTAATGTTTGGCATCTGTTTGTGTTTCAGCGGCTTTTCCTGAGTCCTGGGTCTTCCTTTCGTCTGGACATATTCTACCGCAGCTATTTATTTATTTTTGAACAAGAACATATCACGTCATGGACCTCGTTGGACTGCTGAAGTCCCAGTTCCTGTGCCACCTGGTTTTCTGCTACGTGTTCATCGCCTCGGGGCTCATCATCAACGCCACGCAGCTCTGCACGCTCGTCCTCTGGCCCATCAACAAGCAGCTCTTCAGGAAGATCAACTGCAGACTGTCCTACTGCGTCTCTAGCCGTAAGACCCTTCCTTACACTTCTGTCCTCCTGGCTTCCCCGGGACCAGTCTGTCGGGACTGTGGCTCTTGATATGGTCCGCTGGCCTTTCGGTCCCTGCTCCGCTGTTCTGGGTTTTGTTTTGGTTTGCTTTCTGTTGGAAATGTCTGTTTTCGTCCTCACTCTTTGAAAATGGTGCTTTGAATGAGGACTGCCAGGAACGTGAAATTCAGTGGGCAAGAACGCTGTGTGGCTTCTACCCCCAGTTCTCGCTTCTCAGACACGATCCGTGTCCCTGGGTCTTAGTTATCCTTAGAGAAACAGTAGGTACATCTGGCCCGTGAGTGTACCTGTGAGTCTCTCTGGGTGTGTACATTGACACACTATATATACACTTCTTTTTGCCATGCTGGGGATCAAATATGCATATATTTTTTAAACGAATGACAGTTTTCTCTACTGTTCTCTTCCTTGCTTTCCTCCCATCTTTTATTTTGAGATGATCATAGATTTTCATGCAGCTCTGAGAAACAATAAGGTAAAATCCCAAATGCCCTTCAGCCCGTTTCCCCCAGTGGTAACGTCTTGCTCAGTGAATTACAACATCCCAAGAAACGGACATTAAGAGGATCCAGCAACCCTTCTTGGCTTTCTCAGCTCTTATACACACTTGTTGGAGTTTACGTAATGTGTTTATGTCATTAGTTTCACACATGACTAATCTAACTAGCCTAAGTTTTGGCATTTAAAAGGGAAATCAGTGCACTGCGTATCTAGAGATGTGCTCCATCGTTGCTGTTGATTGACTTTAAGCTCATACCTCTTCTCAAAAGCGGAACATGCGCTGTATCAGTAGCATTATGCACAGGTACAAACGTATTTTAAAATATGAATGCTTTCAAATTAAGTCCTCTTCAAAATCTGTAACCTTAGATTATGTCACCAGTCCAAAATCATCAATATTTTTGTGAAACCTTAAAAAAAAAAAAAGAATTTGAATCAAAACAATAAAAGCTATGTACAATTTTCTAAATGAGTTACTAGTGATCCAGTTCGTTTTTATGTTTTTAATGTATTTTTAACTTTTACTGACACGTAGTAATTATGTATATTTTGGGGGTACAGTGTGACACTTTGATATGTATATACAAGCACAATGATCAGATCAGAGTAACTGGGCACATCCATCATCTCAAACAGTCGTTGCTCTTTGTCTTGGGAACATTCCAGTCCTCTCTACCAGCCACTTTGAAATATACCATTGATTTTTGTCGTAATATCCTACTGTGCTGTAGCACACTAGAAGTTACTCCTCCTCTACGCCACAATGCTGCACCTGTTAGCTGAGCTCTCTCCATCCCTCTCCCCCTCGCCTTCCCAGGCGCTGGGAACCACCATCCAACTTTCCCCATGTAAATGAGAACTTGTGGAATTTGTCTTTCTATGCCTGACTGATTCCCCTTAGCATAACATCCTTTGCTTCTGTTCATGTTGCTGCAACTGATGTTTTGCCATTCACTTTCGTGGCTGAGTAATATTCTAACACAGGTGTGGACCACATTTTCTCCATCTGTCCATCCTTCAGTGGACACTGGGTTGATCGATCAATCTCTTGGCTATGTTGAGTAGTGCTGTAACACACTGTGAAGTACTGATGTCTCGTGACATACTGATTTCATTTCCTTTGGATGTCTACCCAGTCGTGGGAGTGCTAGATATGTGGCGGTTCTGTTTCCGGCTTCTTGAGGAACCTCCACACTGCTTTCCACAATAGCTGTGCTAATTTATATGGTTAGCACTGCTAGCTTTCCCTAAATCCTGGCCACCAATTGCTATTTGTTTCGTCCCTTTGATAACAGCCATTCTAAGTGGGGTAAGATGGTATCTCAATGTGGTTTTGATTGGCATTTCTCTGATGAGTAGTCATGTTGAATATTTTTTCATATGTCTGCCATTTATACATCTTTTTTGAGAAATGTCTATTTAGGTCATTTGCCCATTTTTAAATCAGCTCATCATCACCATCATCACCATCATCACCATCATCATTGCCACCATTACCGTCATCATCACCATCAGTCACTGTCATCATCACCATCATTACCATCATCACCATCACTACCTGACCATCATCATCATCACCACCACTATCACCATCATCATCACCATCAATCACTGTCATCATCACCATCACTACCATCATCACCTGACCGTCATCATCATCATCACCACTATCACCATCATCATCGCCACTATCACCATCATCATCACCATCACCACTATCACCAACATCATCACCACTATCACCATCATCATCACCATCAATCACCATCATCGTCACCATCATCATTTTATTTTGAGTTGCTTGCACTCCTTAATGTCCTGGATATTAACCCCTTGCCAGATGACTAGTTCATTGTGATTATTACACAAGCATGAAATAACGTTTGCTCCAATTCAGTCCCTCATACTTCCTTTTTTCCTCCTCTTCTTCCTCCCCCTGTTCCCTTTTCTTTACTTACTGATCTTTCTCCTGTTTATTTATGGTTTTTAAAATCAGTGCATTACAGATACACATAAAGGAGATGTTCATATACGCACACTGGCAGGTTTGGTCAGTGTCGCTCCCCCATTCTTCCCTTTTCCTGTCCCCCCCAACTGCTTTCTCCACTCCATTGATCGTTCTTCTATTTTCATGAGATGCCCCCAACTTCTTTCTTTGTTTCTTTTCTTTTCCCCTTGTTTTGTTCTAGCATATGGGAGAAACATTCAACCCTTCTGAGTCTGGCTTATGTCACTTAACGCGATGCTCTCTAGTTCATCCATTCACCAGCAAATGCTGTAATTTCCTTCTTCAAGGTTGAGCGAAACTCCATTGTGTAGATAGACCACTTTTTTTCCTATTGTTCTTTGACAGGCACCGAGATGGTTCCATAATTTGGCCGTTGTGTATTGCACTGCCGTAAGCACTGATGTGGCTGCATTCCTGTAGTAGGTGCTGATTTTAGATCCCTTGGGTGTATCTCAAGGAGTGCTCTAGCTGGTCATGTGGTGTTTCCTTTCCTCATTTTTTGAGGAGGCTCCATATTGTTTTCCAGACTGGTTGTACTGATTTGCAGTCCCAACAATAATGTATGAATGTACATTTCCCCCACATCCTTACTAACATTTATTGTTATTTGTATACTTGATAATTGCCATTCTGATTTTAAATCAGGAATCACTACACAGGACGGCATCAAATTATAAAGCTTCTACACAGCAAAGGAAACAATTAAGAGCATAAAGAGAGACACTACAGAAGGGAGAAAGATCTTTGCCATCTGCTCCTCAGATAGGAGCTTAATATCCAGAATGTATAAAGAATTCAAAAAATTTAACACCAAAAGAATAAATGACTCAATAAACAAATGAACAAAGGAATTAAACAGATACTACTTTTTTTTTTTTTCCCATACCAGTGATTGAAGTCAGGGCCACTTAACCACTGAGCCACATCCTCAACCCCCACTTTTTTTTTTGTATTTTATTTAGAGACATGGTCTCACTGAGTTGCTTAATGCCTTGCTAAGTTTCTGAGTCTGGCTTTGAACTCTCAATCCTCTTGCCTCAACCTCTGGAGCTGCTGGGATTATAGACGTGCACCACTGCACCCAGCTAAACAGACACTTCTTAAAAGAAGAAATACAAATGACCAATATATATGGAAAAATGGCAATTATCAAGAATATCAGGGAAATGCAAATCAAAATAACACTGAAATTTGATCTCACTCTAGTCAGAATGGCAATTATCAAGTTTCAGATCTTACATATAAATTTGATACATTTGGAGTTGATTTTTTTTTTTTTTAATGATGAGAGTTGGGGATCTACTTTCATTCTTCTGCATGTGGAATCTAGTTTTCCCAATATCATTGAGGGGACTGTCCTTTGAAGAGTATGTCCTTGCTGACTCTGTCAAATCAGTTAGCTATAAAAATATGAGTTTATTTCTGGGTTCTCTGTGCTATCCCATTGGTCTCTGTGTTGGTTCTATATCGTAGCTTCATAGAAAGTCTTGCATTCAGGTGTCAGGATGCCTCCCACTATGCTCTTATGTTTGGGATTGCTTGACTGTTGTCTTTGTGGTTTCATACAAATTAGGAGGGTTTTTTCCCCCTATGTTTATGAAGAATGTCATTTGTATTTGTTAGGAATTACAGAATCTATGGATTACTTTGAGTAGCATGGGCATTTTGTATTTTTAATTTTAATTTTTTTGCAGTACTGGGAATTGAACTCAGGCATGCTCTACCACTGAATTACATTCCCAGCATTTTCATTTGATTTTTTGAGATAGGATCTCACTACGTTGCTGAGGCTGGCTATGAACTTGTGATCCTCTTGCCTCAGCCTCCTGAGTCGCTGGGATTACAGGTGAACACTATGACCAGCAGCACGGACATTTTAACAATTATTCAATCTGTCTAAATTGATATTAGTTCTTCTTTAAAAGTTTGGTCAGATTCAATAGGGAATATGTGTGTGGGTGGGGGTGTGGTGCGTGTGTCCTCTTCATCTTCATTCATTAGCATTTTGTGAATTTCATTGTACAGACCACTTGCTTCCTCAGTTAAGTTGATCTCTAGACATTTTATTTCCTTCGTAGCTATTGTGAATGGGATTGCTTTAATTTCTTTCTCAGCAGTTTCCTTACTGGTGTTTAACAATGGCATTGACTTTTGTATGTTGATCTTGTATCCTGCAACCCGACTGTTTTAGCAGTTTGGGGTGGAGTCATGAAGTCATGTCCTTTGCCGATAGGGATAAGCTGATGTTCTCCTTTCCTACTCGAATGTCCTTTATTTATTCCTCTTATGCTACACTGTGCTTAAGACTTCCAGTACTAGGTGGAATAGCGTGGTGGAAGTGGGCCTCCTTGTCTGGGTCCTGACCCTACTGGAAATGGCCTTCACCCCTTCAGTAGGATGTTGGCTGTGGGTTTATCTTTATTATTTAGCCTTTATTGTGGTACATTCCT